CTGGTTCTGCAGAAAGAGGAGTCACTGTCACCAGGCCAAAGTCTACGGCTGCGGAAGAAAAGGTGTCATGACTGTATTGGTTCCTCGTCAACCTCGCAGAGGCTCTGCAGAATGGGGGACAGTGACTTCCTAGCCTCTAAGTGTCTAAAGTTTTGTGGGTTTTTTTTTTAAATCTTGGCCCAGCACTGTTTCAACTCTGAGTTCTGGCATTTTTCTGCAGCTAAAGTTCAGATAAATAAAATGAAGCACTTTGTCATTGAAAACTGGAAAGCCTAAATAGTGCCATCACTCTGTTTTAAGACCTAAAACTTTTAAACAACTTTATGTTACTTGTCATTAATTTCATATATACAAGTCAGTGATTTTTAGCAACTTTACTGAATGGTACAACCATCGCCATAAACCAGTTTTAGACACATTTATCTGGCCCTAAGACCTCATTTACAATTAATACATGTTCCAAACCCCAGCCCCAGGCAGCCACTGATCTGCTTTGTCTGTAAATTTGCCTTTTCCCTATACCTCATAATGGAGCCATACAGTATGTAGGCTCTCATGTCTGGCTTCTTTCACTTTGCAGAATGTGTTTGAGGTTCATTCACCTGTGATGTGGCATATTCAACACTCCTTTTTTTTTTATGGCAGAATACTATTGAATGGTATGCCTCTACCCTGTGTTATTTATCCATTCATCGGTGGACTAATATTTGAATTGTTTCCACTTTGGGGCTTGTGAATGATGCCACTATGAACATTCATGTACACTTGTTAGTGTAGACATGCATTTTCACTTCTCCTGCATATACAGGGGCGGGCAAAAATAGATTTACATAATGCAAATAAAAAAATACAAGAATAAATTCTCCCGTACTCACAACCATAAACCCACTTTGGCCTTTTCTATCACTTTCAAGCTTAGGAAAGGGCCGTTACTAAGCAGCAGGAAGGGGAAGTTTGGTTTCCTGGTTACTAACATGGCCTGATCCAGGTGGCCCAGGTTGAAAGCCTGGCTCTCCGCCTACTAGACACACCTGAAATTGTGTAAGAGATGGTGATGGTGATATTTCCTAACCCAGCGTGGAGGTGAGGGTTGCGTGAGCAATGTGTATTCGTTTCCTAGGGCCCCCCCAACAAATTAGCACAAACTGGGTGGCTTCTAACAACAAATGTATTCTCTCACAGTTCTCCATCCTACAGCCTGAAAGCACGGTGTCAGCAGGGCCATTCTCGGAAGGCTCTAGTTCCTTGTCTCCTCCAGCTTCTGGTGGCTACTGACAATTCTTAGCACTCATCACTCCAGTATCTGCCTCTGTGTCTGTCCAAATTTGTCTTCTCTTAAGGACACCAGTCATTGGGTTGGGGCCCACCTACTCCAGAATGACCCCATCTTAACTTGATTGTATCCGCAAAGGCCCTCTTTCCAAATAAGGTCACATAAGAACTGGGGGTTAGGACTCCAACATATCTTTTTTGGGGACACAAGTCAATGCATAACACATTAAGTTCAATGATTTATAAGTTTAAGTTTATACTTTAGGTTTTAGGTTAAAATGCACTATTCAAAAAAAATTTTTTTTACATGGGGAGGAGTATAGGAGAGAACATAGTGGCACCCAGGTCCCCAGTGCTTGGTGTCATGTGAGGCCTTGTGCTGGGGAAAGCAGGGGGCACTTAGGACTGGGGATGGTGTGCTGGGACAGGAATGAAGGAAGGCAGGTTAACACAAATGCTGGACAGAGTGGCTGCCTCCTAAGAACTCAGACTCTGCCAGGGCAGTCAGGTCTTTTCTCAGGGCCTCTTCAGTCTCCTTTGATTCTCCTCTTGAGCCTTTGGAGCCTAAAGTCAATGAGGCCCAGATGTGTGGGCTTCATCCCAGTGCAGATTTGCCCACCTTATACTTGGCTGGTGAATTTCAGTCACCAGAGACCACATTCCATGCTCGTTATTTGTTGTTCTTGGGCCAAATAATCAGAAGATTGGAGAAATAGTCTAATTTTCTCTAAACCTGGGGTAAAGCTGAAATTTGCCTTTGTGAACCTTGATTCCAGAGGAGGTGACTTGGGTCTGCATATCCCAGGCCCCAAGAATTTCGTTTTTTCCTGTCCAGTCTCCCAAAAGTATTAAACTTGAGAAAGGAAATGGCTGGTAAGCTTTAGAAGACTCTGTAAACATTGCTTACTGTCCCTCCTCCCCCCTTTAAAAAAAAAATTCTTCTTTGGCTGCCTCAGACGTAAATTGTTTAGAGGTGGGGCTTTGTGGGAGGAAACAGTTATCTGGAAACTAGAGAGAGAAGGCCTGGTAAGGAAGAGCCAAAAGACTACAGATGCAAACTTTCAAGCTGCTGTTATATTCGGTTTCCGAAATTATGTTGTGAAATATTCCAAACAATCACAAGAGTGGAGCCAGTGGTACATTGGCCTTTCTCTCACATCAGCCAGATGGGACAATATCAGGATTTTGCCACTCTTGCTGTCATTCATTCCACTCTTCCCCCACTTTTTTCCTTTTTGAAGCTTTTAAAAGCAGATCCTAGACATCACACCTTTCCTTTCCACACTTCAATGTGCTTCCCAAGAAACTATGGACATTTTTCTTATATCACTGCAATGTTGTTATCCCACCTGGAAAAAGTTAAACTTTTTTGCGTATCATTCAATATGCAGCCTATATTCACGTTTCTTTGCCTCAAAAATGTTTACAGTTGGTTTATTTGAAGCAGGATTCAAATAAGGTCCCGAGATTCTTTCACCAGCTGTTCAAAAAGGTAAGTAAGTTGGAGGAAAACCATGATCAGAGTCAGTTCCTGGGGCCTAATCAAGCCAGGGAACCAGGCAATAATGACTGGGGGTTGGGAAGCCGAGGTCTGCTCACCAAGGCAATGCCCCTGCCACACCCCCAGGCTCAGTGGTGTGCCCGTGTAACTTCTTGCTGACATCACATTCTCAAATCTCAGCTTGGTCACCATGCTGTCTCCCAAAAAAGTTGGTTCAGTCCAACAGCCTCTGGGTGTTATTTCAGCTTCCGAGTTGTGGCTCCTTGGGAACCACTGGCTTAGGTGGCTGATGAATACTCTGGAGGAACCCTGGCTGTCCATTGAAATCATCTGGAGAGCTTTAAAAGCTACCGATGCCCGGGTCTGCCGCGCAGAGATTCTAGTGTCTTCAGCCAGATTGTGGCCTTGGCACGAGTTTTAAAAGTTCCCAGGTGATCCTAACGCGCAGCCCAAGGCAGAGAACCGAGGAGCGCTGCAGGGCCGGACTCACCGGGCAGGTCCCCCAGCCGGAGCTCCAAGGGTTAACTATGCTGGTCGGGGTG